AAAAACATGAGGCATATGTTAGGAAAAAGCAAACACAGAAATCGTCTGGTGCCCAATCCTGTTGGTCAAAAAATCACACGTTCCATTTTTCTGCAGCCAAAATTATTCGGAAAACATCTTTCATTGGTGAATTAGATTTTCTAGGGGCATTTTACATTCAAAAAAATCTTTCTTTTTTAGTTAATGATCCTAATTCCAATCCATCTTTACCTTCAGCCTTTAAGGAAATTTTTTAGTTTTCTTGTCTCATCAAGGCCAGTAGCTTAACGTTTTTTCAATCATTCTTATCTTATCTTCACCATATCTTATCTCGTTCATTTGCACTTTGGCAGCTGAGGAAATTGGTTCTGCAGTTAGACCATCGAAACTAGTTCTGCGAAATTTACAAATATTAATCTGTTTCTTGTTGTTTGACTTTTCAAACCTGGTGTAATTTTTGGCGTAGCCATTACCTATGATATCACTTACTTTTTAATTATTCTACGCGGCCATCTGTCAGTCGCAAGATATGTCTTCGATATTCCTTGCATTGCCAGTGTTATCATACCAATCAAGAATGATTTCTCAACATGTCTCTTCATAGTGAAAACACTGCAAAGATGTCTGCAGAGTGTTACATTTTCCTTGGCATTCTTACCCCGAGATCATTTACTGCACTGTCTGAAATCTGTATTCTGACAGTTTTGGCTTTGGGATTATAAAATACACGAGGCTTTGGGTAATAAATGATGAGTTATTACTCATCATTTATCCTAGTCAGAAGCATGATTCGCCTTTTGCCATTAGTCTCCAAATTCTACGTGGTATGTTTATATATCGCCTCAGGACTAAGTAGTAGAAAGGCAAAGACGTCGGATAATTTTTAATAGCTGTGAAGTGAAGCATTTCCGGTCGAACTGTGCCTTCCGCCTAATAAGGGGGCTAAAATAAAAAGATGGCCCTCATAGCTCCATTCATTTGCAGAAGTGAGTACAAAAACTCAATTGATCTTTCCTTAGCCTATAAGATTTCCAGAGCTTTCCGTAGTCAAACACAAATGGTACATGCCGGTTACAATCCTCTCACGTAATCCGTACATAAATCTGCTAAGCGGTTACAGAATATTTGACAGCAGATTCTGTTGGACAGCTTCGACAATAATATCCTTTTCAGACTGAATAGCTTTATGCATTTCCTGCCAAAAGCAGCTGTACGTCATATTAATAAGTAAACTGATTGAAAGACAACAATAAACACATTTACATTTGCTCAGTAAATGCGTTTATTGTTATCTTTCAATAATTTTTTATCATTGTCGCCTTCAAGTCTATGTCGCTTTTTGCTATGATCAAGCATTTTTTTTAAGGTACACGGATTCTTTTAAGATAGGCGTTTTAGTAAAGTGTAAAATTGAAATAAAACGTCAAGTGCCCTCATTTTACAACACTTTTACCAATTGTGCATGAATTAAAAATAACAAACTGCAAATTAAAATTCAGAAATATAAATAAACTCCAAACTAACGATAAATAATTTCGAAATGATACTATGTGTATATAAAGATATATTAAGTCTCTAAATTCCTACTAAATTTTCAATATAAAATATTATCTGAACCTAATATGCAAAACACAATGGCTATTCTACGCGTACGTAAATAAAAAAATAAAGCATTTAGGAATATAATTTCTCAAAAAGGACAGCTATAATCACATGAAAGCAGAGAAATATTCTCTTTAATTTCTCTAAATTTACAACTACCTTATAAAATTCTTTCTTTCTTAAAATATTAAACCAATTACTTTAATAAACAGTAATAAATGTTGAAACCTTGAGGGAAATTGAAATTGCTATTATTGCTGGGCTGTAATGTGACTCGAACTCCCATATGCATTTTCTGAAATCAAGTATCAAAGGTTTAAATGCAGAATACAGACACAAATGGCATATCCGAATGACAAAACTTCAACAGGTTAGATACAAGAGATTTTTCGAGCTCTCCACATGTGAAGTAAAAGACATTCCAATAAGTATTATATGATTTTTAAAAAAAATGGTAACAATGTGTAAACAATTATCACTATCATTAAATTTTATTTGTTTTTAGTGTATGCTCTGAAAATTTATGATGGATAATTACATGCTTCAAAACGTTTGGTTACTATCCAAACATTATCATCACAGATAAATCTCCTTTCTGCTTGAATGGATATGTTAACAAGCAAAAGTGCAGAATTTGGTGTGAAAATAATCCACAAGAGATTCATAAGAAGCCATTGTATTCACCAAAGTCACTGTATGGTTTGGTTTATGGCACAGTAAGCATCATCGGACCAGTTTGTTTCCAAAACGGGGGGAGGATATATATTTACTATGACTGGCAAGCAATACCGATTTATGATAATAAATTGGGGGGGGAAATTTAGAAGCCATTGATTCCGTGGACATGCAGTTCCAATAAGACGGTGCAGCATGTCCCATTGCAAACGCCACTATCGATGTATTGCAAAAACTGTTTGATGGAAGGATAATTTCGCTAAATGCAACTGGCCTCCCAGAAGTTATTTAAATCTTTTAGACCACTTTACTCATTTTGAGAGGATATTTGAAATCAGTAGCCTATGCGAACAAACTAAAAACCCTTGAAGCATTGAAAATGCACATCGAACTCTGCATTAAGCTTGAATGTTTGCACACACTCATTGAAAATTGGTTTCATCAAATTTGCTCGTGTGCAACAAGTCGAGGTAGACACATTATGTTTCATTTCGAACATAATGTCATAAATTGTTCTTCAAAATAATATTGAAAGTTTACTTTTTCTGAAATAGTTTTCATTTTATTACTTTTTAAAATCGTAGCATTTTTATTGTGAGACCCTTTACATACATCAGTCAGTTTCAATCCGAAAGTCTGAGTGAAGTCAGGAGTAGATATACGTCATAGGGACATAGCTCTAATAGACTTCGTCGTAATTAAAGTAATCCAATCCCAGAAGAAGCAGCAGAGATTTAAACCGTAAAAAAAAAGTATTTGAAAACTGGAAACTATTTATTATCGCGTGTGCTCGACTTAACAGAATTGATCATTTCCATTGATATAAACATGGCAATGGTTATCGATTTAGGTTTCTAACTTTAGGTGCCTTCGATGTATGACTAATATGCTTAGGTAAATATAATCTTATGGTTGAAACTGAACAGTAGAAATTATTATGTTTTACAAATTAAATAAAGAACTATGCGACTAACTTTTCTTTGATAAACCAGATGAAATAATATGAAAGTAATAAGCAAGCCATCGTCGATAACGAGATTCGAAACCTGCAATCCTCTGAGGTAGAATCAGACTGCATATTCTTTAGGTTACGTAAACTTCAGCAAATAGATTTTTAAGGAGATATTTGTAAGACAAATTTATTTTCCATCCTCATTTCCCAAAAGAGTTTTCATATGTTTATAAAGGAAAAAAAATATAATTATAATAAAGTTTATAAAAGTATTTTATTGATTATAATTAATACTGTAAATGTTTAGAACAGCGAATATTGTACGTAAATGTTACAAAGTGCATATATTTTTTCTTAAATCGCTGAATATTGTACAACTATTGTGCTGCTGTAATTGAAATATAAATCACTCTGTGAACCAGTATGCTGAAGCCTGTAGCACAGGTCTTTCGATTTACTCTTTAATTAGTATATGTGGATTGGCCCCTCTGTACCCCTAAATTTATATGTTATGTTATCGCCAAGGCTTGCTAATTCTTAAGCTTTTACCCCAGTTTTGAAGAACACCCCTTCCTTCTTTCCCTTCCACCAGCCTTTCGAGAGAACTTTCGGCTTGCTATGTATTTTGAGTTTCCCCTTGCCGTTCAGATACAAACATCCATGTCTCCTCCGGGATTCCAAACGAACCAATCAATAACGGTAGTCAGGTAACAACTAGATCGCCTGGGCAGTTCTTTAGTTAGCATTTGATCAAATGATATCGCATCGCATTAGTAAACAAGTTTCGTTTCGGATAGTGATCGACATTTTTTGACAGGTTTTTGACAGGCACTGTGCTAATGCGCCCATGGAGGTCAAAGTTCTGATCCTCATGGGTGCTTCATTCACTTGTTTACTGTCGATTAGAAGCGCCAAATATCTGTACAATACAGATTGGCAATAACATTTAAGTTTAATTTGATTTGTTATTAAGTATAGCCGTTTATTCAAGAAACGGTCATATCATGCATAAAACTGTATTTAGAATAAATAGAAACTTCGAAAAATTGAAAAATGAATAATGTGATCTCAGATATATGTAAAATAGTGTAGATGATGTTAGAAAAAATATTCATTATTCCAAACAATTTCATACAGTATAGTAAACAAAAAAAAAAAAATATATAGGGAAGTAACAAAAAGCAAAAAAAGAACCATTCATAAACCATACAATACAAACAAACGTTATGCACATTTGATAACGAAATTAAAGAAACAAAAAATACTCTGTTTTCAATAATACTTTTGAATTTAATTAAAAAAAGGTTATACAATATATTGAAAACTTCATTTAATGAATTTTTTAATCATTATTTCTGAAACTGAAGCTAGATTGCTTTGTGGCACTTCAACCTCAAGTAAGCAACACCAGTTTCATCCATCAATCGATTTCTTCTGTCAGTTTCGGTGACGCTTAATCCCTTAAAACCCACAGTAACGTCTCGCAAAAGTTCGCAAGAGGGTAAAAATTGTTCGTAAAACCACAAGCCTATTAAAGGGGATGAAATTAGTTAAAAAGATATAAAATAATTATGATATAATTCAACTTGCTGAAATAAATGCAAAATCTGAAACAGAGAAAACCTTCACTGATGACAAGGGCATGCGCATCACTCTGAACTCTGAACTCATATCCTTGTAAACACGTGTATCATAAATTCACTATCATTGGACTTGGCTATAGATTCTTCTAACTTCTAGCGTCAAAATTATTACATACTAGTTCAAGTCACAAATTTCTTTCTTCTTACAGTTTTACAGAGTTATTAAAGGTCAGGGCGATGTCTGGGATAATAGGGCAAGAGCCCGGGGCGTCACAGCTTCTTTCTCGCTCAACGGAGTGGGCCCCGTGTATGAAGAACCTCAAGATCTCTATCAAGAAAACGAAGAACTCAAGGTAAATATTTTTTATGGCAGCATATATCTCATTACAAATTTTTCTTATTGCATATAATATAGCATAAATACTTGCACATATGGTATTCTGTATTTTTTACTTGCTTTAAAATTAATGATATTTTATGTATGGAGCGTCTATTAAGTAACTTTACCAACTAGCGGTAATTCGTGGAACTCGCAGAGCGAAGAATCTTCTATGATTTTACAAATTAAGTGCAGATTGATATGCGCTCTCAATAAATGAAAATAAAGGTACAGGATTATAATGCATGATTACAGTTAAGTATCCGTATTGCAAAATTTTCCAGTATTCCAGATTTCACAATAGCACGAGATTCCAAAAGACACAGACCAACACATGTTGAAAGAGTATGCAACATAGAAAGTAACAGAGATACCATTGTTTCAGTCGTGTTAAGAAATACTCACAATATAATACACGTACATGTTTCCATATGATGTGGTAACACCACAGCTAGTACTTAAAAACATTTATCGAGTGGAACAAAGCGCGCATTTTCTCTCCTAGGCGTTTTTTTTTAATTGATTACATATTCACCGGGGAAAAAATAGAAATGAGAACTTCTGCAGAAACAACGTTGTGAGTTTTTAAGGTGTGTTAGAAAAACAATCTAAGCCCTGCATTCGATTGAGTACTGTAACATTGTGCATCACGCCAATTTCGTCAGACCTACTTTTTACGTTAAGTTTGTGTTCAGGGTTAGCTGTGCACGATTTAATCGGCAAATATTAGAATACTGATTTCATATGCGGCTTAGGGTAATGTGGTCTCCCGTCAGTAATTGTTACAGATATTTATTCACGGATATTTATCAAGTCATTATATAATGAAACATGCGGGGGTAGCGCCGATGAGTTACAAACAATCTCAATCAAGGATAACTATGTTAAAAGTTCTTTGATCAACATTTTGTATTTCTCTTAGATTAATAATTTGTATTTTTCTTTGATCAACGCTATGCATATTTGCTTTCATTTGGTTCGAATGATACAAATATCATGCAGAATAGAAACACACATCGCAGCATGTCTTCTCCCAAGAACTCTCGAATCCGCAGAGGATAAAAACTTCCTGTCACGAATTCCCTGGACAGAAAATCATATTTCACCATAAACTCAGTAACTGAATAAGAGCTTTGTTTAACCGCCCAACATTTATTCCCATGACTTAGTGTAGGAGCCTTTGCATAATGTCGAAGTTGTCTGTATGAATCAGAGAGATGAATGATTTCCTCACGGATCCATGATTTTTTGAAAAATGCTTACGTAATATACGCACGTAGTGTAACAGCTACAAATGAGCATCAATATTGTCCATGCATATGATTTCAGAGTTCTGAGCATGCAACAGCTTTGTAATTTGGCTGAGGGATGATGCATTATTATATGTTACCATGGCTGTAAAATGTCTGGTTTAAGATTATAATTTTCTGTCGTCTTCACATTTACACTTCCTTGATTTAACACTGATATATGTTTGGCTCTACGGTTATCTGAGGTTCTGGGTCTATCGGAATAATTTTGGTATACTGAGTGCTCAGAAGCATTACGTATCCGAAATGATATCTATCGTGCAGCCAGTTTATCGGTCGCTGCCCACGCGGATGGTGTTCTTAATAACAAATATGGAGATATTTAAAACAATTTAAATGTCTCTCTGTAGGATGCAGTTTTTCCTCAACTTTACAATTATTTTTTTCCTTTATTGCCTGCTGATCTTTCGCTATTTTCACAGTTCAGTCGTCTCATTGCTTAAAAGTCAATATCTATGAAGCTTTTTACTCTTCACACATTTTCCGGAGCCTCATGCTGTCTTGTGTTATCGTAAATTTTTGGTATTTACATTGGGAGTGTTATCTATAGGATTATATTAACTGTAATCAAAATAGATTTTCGACCCTCATTTTTGGCGCATTTCGAATACTTTGTGTTTTCTTGTTATCTTTTCTAAGAGCTATCAAATTTCATCAGTCTATTAGATAAATTTGACAGCTTCAGAACAAATGTTTCGTACCGTTTAGATAGATTTAAACGTTTATGTGAGCTTACATGTTTTTTAAAAAAATCTTTTTCTTTAGCCCTTAAATTGCGATAGGTCCCAAGTAAACTGTGGCAGCTTTACACGTCATAATTCGGCACGTTAGAACAAATATAATGCCTTTGTAATGGTTTTCAAGATATCGTGCTATTTCAAACTACCTGGTATCACTTCCGATTGGCTGAATTTAAAGAATATATGTGAGTTATTGTTGTTGTACCTCATCTGTCTGTCATATTCAGAAGAAACTCATTAATGCTATCATAGCAAGGAGTGTAATTTTTAGTCCAAAGGGGTTTGAGTCCCGAAAGACTATTACTTTCGTTTCGGCATTTTGCGTCGGCCTTCTATAAATGACGGTTCACTTTTCAAACTGTTGCCACAAAATGTTAGAGTCCTTCATTATATTCGAAGAAATTAAATAATGAACAATTTGCATAAATTTATGTATATTTCTCGCATTGTGATAAAACAACGGTATCTAGAGCCATATAATTTTGAAGGACGTAATCCTATTGCGAATATGGGCACCTGAAATCCCAAATTTGAAATTTGGAATTTGTTTTATTATCGATTTCATTAAAGCTTTAACGAATTTTTGAATAACAAACTCAACGATTTAAAAGCGAGCAATGCCAACACTCTACGGGGGAAAAACCTTTTTATCTTCAGAGCGTCGAACTGTGTGTCGGAAATTCTGAAGATATGTTCATTTTAAAATTATTTTGCGACATTGCTATTGAACTAAATTTTATGGTTTAAGTGAAAAGAACATGATATTTAATAAATAAAGGTAACACACAAAACGTTAAAAAACGCCCCTTGGATGTAATTTAAAATCTGGAACATTTCAGATTTTTTTTTCCTTTCTTTTTTTGCGTCTGTCGTTTTTCATGAGCCTTAAGTCTCTTACGGGTGACAGCACGAGTTTTGTTCAGTTCTGTCCCAATTCAAAAAGGAAGTATCCCTGGAGAGGGATCGGAGGGTCACTCTCTTCCCCTAATACCAAATCACAGGAAAGGACTTTATCTCGCCGTATATTTAGAGTGCTTCCATGCCCCAAAGAAATTATATATATAGTATCCAAAACGTCTCCGGGATTCGAACCATGCCTTCGGAACAGTAGTCAAATACCCTAACTACTGTCTCATTGGGTAGCCCGCGACCAGTGTCTAGAGATTACTGAATTTGAAACTTAGAAATTTCCTCTTATGACGACGTGAGCAAAACTGTGAGGCAAAACTCCTTGAACATTACAAATGAACTCGTTACGCTCATTCAACAATATTCGAAAGCTGCCTGGATAAGATGCGTCAGATAATCCATAATCGAGCGATGCACTGATATCAATCGTTGACGATTTGAATGCTTACTATTAGTGTTTAACTATAATTAACGCATCATCTTTTTTTCGGGGGGGACACTCTCTCTCTCTCTCTCGATGTATGTGTGTAGGCGTGTAGTTCGACAATTATGTTTTAATATTTCAAAGGAGAATAATAAATTTAAAAGAAAATCCTCAATTCTTTCCAATATGATAATTTTGAGATTTTTTACAGAAAGATATGAAACATTCTTTCGTCTTATACATATTTAGATGTTTCTTCTAATGTTGTTTGTTCACCGCTTTTTTTAGCCTAAATATTTTCATTGATACTCGCATTTTTGAAGTGTTTTTAATATTTAGATTTGTTATATTTTCTTGAATATAATGCTAGTAAAAGATGAAAAATATGCGATCTTTAAAGATAAGACAAAAGGTTCTTAAAAAAGGTGAAGCCTTTATAAGAATTTTAAAATTTAAAACTAAGTTTTTACTTAATAATCTGTATATAAAAAAAACCTTGAATTTTCTTAATCCAAAAACATTAATTCAAAAAATAAAGAGGTTATTTAAGAGAAATTTTCAAAGTTTGGCATTGAAGCCGAAAGCATTTGAAGCTGAAATTCTGAAAGTTATTTTCTGCTTCAAGTATCTCCTTACGGCAAGATAAGATGTTTAACTGAAGTGTTTTGAAGACGTTGGAATTGCAAGCTGCCATTCAAAATCAAAAACTCAGAGTTTCAAAGACGTGTATGAGTGACTTATTAGCATATAGTTTTGGATGGACCCAACAGTAATTAAAAAAAGAAAGAAATTCTGAAATGATTCAGATTTTAAAGTCACACCACAGGATTTTTGCCAAGCTTTTTTATGCTCTAAGTATCGCAGGTTATTAATCTACTCTACTCCTGCGAACACAGTTCTTTTTGTCTTTTTATCTTTATTAAGCATTGCTTTCTTCACAGTTACGCCAGTTGCATTTCAGCAGCAAAATAACAAAAGCTTTAAAAGCAGTATATCTTCAGAATTACCGATACAGTATTAAGTGTTGGAGTACACGTTTCTATTCTTTTTTGTTTAAGTCATAGTAAAATGGCTTACAAAAATTTGATTTGCACTTTTATTATTAACTGTTATTCTTTTGGACATTATTTATTAAATATCACGTTCTTCACACTTGCACCGCATAAAATTCAATAGCAAAATCGCATATAATATATGATTATATGTGAGTAATATTTGAAAACAGCATAACTTTAGACTTCCCAATACAGTGTTAAGTGTTGCCTCTTTTGCCCTATTATTTCTTTAAAAATCTAAAACAGCTATTATAAAAAAGAAAAAGTATACAACAATTTCAACGAGTCCAAATAGTGTAGTTTATAAAAATATTTAATATTTCGAATTAGACAGTTTCTGTATTTAGTGTATTTTTATTTAAATCAGTCATGCAGTCATTAGTCCTGTATTAAAAAGAAGAAAACTATTCTTAAGAATTGCGTTTATGTCTTTTAAAATTCTTAGTTTGTTACTCACTACCCTTCTAGATTAAATTTGAAAGTTAAATTAGACATTACCGAATGACAACACGTTGACGCATGAAAAATAGAAATAC